TGATATCCATTTTAAATCCCCTCCATCGGCATGCTTTCGATGTTCCGAAATTCATACTCATCCCACATTGGTAACTTTTTTATATATTAAGACTCGTTTAAGCTATCAATAAGTAATGCCATCACAGTAAAACACTAATTGCAGTTGATAGCAGATAGTAATCGCTGTGGAATTACGTATTATACCTTGTTGATAATTTTAGACATAATTTTATAATACACCTACTATTAATTGTAAGTATTATAAAAACATACACACCTATTTCATTGCAATGTTGATCCTGCAATGGTTCGGTGATCTTAATGACTCCAAGGAAAAACAAGACATTGCCCTCCCACACAACTTTGTAAGGAAAGAAATTAAATAAATATAAGTACAATAAACAGCAACAATAGCAACACAACTACTTGGGCTGTGAACACAAATTGCACAAATCACTCGATCTGACGTTAGTAAGATATCGACGTGTTCGGTGGTCGGTAATGCAGACACCACGGTTGACGTTTTTTGCTTTGGGCGTAGAATATGCGTTCCCGTAATATTTCTTTTTCTTCTCCACTTCACCAGTGACTCCAGTCCAGAAAACTCGTAGCGTAGCTCAGAAACCCTAAGGACGTTTTTTTTGTTCAGGCCTGATTACGCTTCGTTGATGGCCTTCGCTCTTGTATATAAAATCCACCTCCTATATAAATTTATACTTTTGGAGGTAAATTTTTGGGTAAAAAAATCAATTGTTAACTTGCAGCAAACAGCACAAACAACGTTAACTTTTTATCTTATACATACAAGATTACTTGCGGCTGGTTTATTGTCGGTTAAATGGCTCTGCAATAAGTATATAGTAATAATTATTTGGCTCATGAATGAAATTCTCAAGGAGAGTTTTAGGCATTTTTGGCTCTATAGAGACATTTAATCAATTAAAAACCAGCCGCAACAACTCTCATAAATACGAAATAAAATTTGACTTTATCTGCTTTATTAGCGGCAAGTTTACAATTTATCTTTTACCCGAAAGTACAAAAATATAAAAGATCAACATTCAGATATAAAATAACTGCAAACTTGCCGCAAATAGCACAAATAGCGTCAACTTTTTATTTAACACTGTTACAATTAATTGCGGCTGGTTTATAATTAATTAAATGACACTGCTGTAATTTGTAGTGATAATTTTTTTGATCAGCGCCATCTAGCGCTGCAAATTTCTGAACTAAAAAGTGGCCCTAGAATTCTCAAGGAGAGCTTTAGCCATTAGAGACATTTAACCCATTATAAACCAGCCGCAACTCATATTGTAGCTATAAAATAAAAAAATAATCATACATCTGTTTTTGGCGGCAAGTTAACAATCTATTTTTACCAAAAAATTGACCTCCTATGTATTTATACTTTTGAAGATAAATTTTCGAGCAAAAGATAGATTGTTAACTTGCCGCCAAAAACACA